GATGTTTCATTACATTGTTCAGATTCATTGTGAATGTTGAGCATTTTCGCAGCTCCTTTGTTTTGAAGGCTGAACTTAGACAAAGCTTACAAATCTAAATTCCTTTGTCTCTAGTCTTTCTTATGTATATTTATGCCTAGGATTGTCCTTTGCAAAACTTAAGCTTCTGTGGGAAAAATTTTATCTTAAGCTTATTGAAATCAACAGGGTTTCTACACTGAATCTTAATATGCTTTATATTAAAAAACAAGGTCAAGTGTTAACATTTTATGTTTTCAGCATTAAAATTGTTGCTTTGTGATACCAGTGACCTGATGATCATTTCTGAAAATGGAGCAGAGTCAAAACAGTGGTTAACAGTTGTTCAAGTTATTAATAAAGCAACCAATAATTAAAAAAATAATATATTGTATAATAGGAGATACTAGTATTTTATCTTTTAATTGACCAAGCACAAAATAACTACTTCCATATTCCCAAATGCCAACGGTAGAGAAAAACAAGACACACAAGTAGCTTTTTACAGTTTTTATTGTTGCTGGAGGCTCTAATACAATATCAATCGTAAGCTTTACAAAATAAAAACAAAAAACAAAACAAAACAAAAATCAACAAAAGATTCCCCTCCAAAATGGAAACAAAGGACAAACAGTGACCCCCAATAAAGACATACATGATGAGATGGGAGTGGGATGAGCCAAACCGGAGGAGTGAACTGACTGGGTATTATTATACAGTGAGAGGAGACAATACAACAGCTGACCCCATGTGATGACTTCTGCACCTTTTTCAGATGAAAGAAAGATACTATACAAATATATTAGAGGGTGCTATAGGTAAAAAGGTGCAGTAAATTAATCTGATGTATATGACAAAAACAGATACACTGCCAACAAAGCAGTTTGTGTCCAAATCCACTATTAGGGATTATAACTACAGTGGCCCTCACACTGCAAAGATTATCATAAACCGTTGTAATACTATCTTAATATTCAGATTAGGGAGGGAAGACAGACAGGTGAGTGTGTGAATGGCTTCATGGCAACAAATTAAACAAAAAAACAAATAAAAAGCTAAGCATTTTCTCCTTTTTTTCCCCACAATTAAATGAGAGTGCAGCACTGAAACAGACATGGAGGGAGATGACGAACAAAACATTGGCTGAACGAGAGAGGAGCAGACAAAGAACAGAACAGAGGGGATTTCTTCTACTGCTGCTGCCTTTGCCTGAGTGCCTCCATCAGGTCATTCTTCAGAGACGCCTGCATTGGCTTATCGGCCAGAGGTGTTACGCTCCTGTGGAGTGGACAGGGGGGACATTAGGGATATAATATACTTTTAAAATTATTTTAAACATTTGACAATGCATTGAATAAGATGTTTTAAAACAGAATAAGAGTTGCAATGTGTGTAAGTTAAATGTAAAATAGGGATACACCAATCCAGCTTTTTCAGTTTCAATACCGATTATGATTCTATAATAAGTATCTGCCAATACCCAAAATCAACCAATATCAGAACAGAGACTGAAAACCACATTTGTTAATTTAAAAGAAGATTAACATAAAACACTGATCCAAATATGTTATGCAACATATATGTTAACAATTTTGTGTAAATAATTTCTGGGCGACTATGACCAGTAAACAGTCTTACTACATCAATATGTCCAATCAGGATATCGGCCAACTAGTATTGGTTCGGTGCATCCCTAATGCAAAGTGGCCTCAGGGTGGGAAAACCAGGCAATTTATTAAAACGTTATCACTGCATGCATCAAACCATTTATGTAATGTAAATTTAAGAACATTCTTACAGTTAACACAAGACAAAAATCTACACACCCGGTGCCTAGTTTTTGTGTTGAACTTAACAAGTTTTGTTGTTTTACATCAATGTTGGGGGTCTCAGAGCTAATTAGATCAAGCTTTAACGCAACACTGCTAAATCAATACAATTTAGACACCTCACTTAAACAACCCCAACAGCTTTTATGAGACATTGTGTGTAAACCTGTCTCAGCGCATAAAAGCAGAAGTAAAAACATAGTGGAAAGATCTTTCAAACTAAAGGCTAAAAAACAGTTAATTTGATTACCAAAACATGTGTCTGACTAACAAAGTTAATTAATTTGTAAACATTTGTGACGGAGACTTTCATAGCATAGAACAAAAATATTGCTTAATTTTAAACAACCAAGTATGAATAAGATTATACAAGTTAATCATTTGTTCTGAAATCAAACCCATGCAAGTTTCACACAGTTCAAACTATTAAAATTACTAAAATGGGATGGATTGAGTAGTATGTAAGTTATCATTTCCACGCACGCATCCTAAGTCTTTCCAGAGCTGGTTGTACCTCTGAACCTAATCAATGAAGATCTGACGCTGGGTGAGGACCTGTGACAGCTCCTTCTGGAGCTGCCTGTACTTTTGGTTATCGGGCAAAGACTCAATAGATCTGGAGAGGTGAAAATGAGGGTCAGAGGAAAGACAGGGATAAAACAGGAGGAGTAAGATGGGACTAAAGCAAATAGGAAGCATAAAAGGCTTTGCAGAACAGTTCAAAGAGCAGAGGAACTAGGTGGACTAAAAATATTTATAAACTGACCCGGTCACATTTATAGCTGTAAATAGTTATTCAAGAGAAGCATCACATTTTTAAAAGAGCACCATGGACTGTACCTTAGGCCATTGACAATGTCTTTAGTCTTCCCAAAGTAGATTTCATTCAGTGTAGAGCGGATCTTATTCTCCATGTCCTGAAATCAAGCAGAGATATTTGTTTATCTAATCACAAGTGAACAGGATGAAGATATTTAGCTCCTTAAATAGTTAAAAAGGAATAAATACAGTTTTAAGTTTAACAATATACTGACTTCAACAAGGCGGCCGATGTTAGCGATGTGAGGTGAGGATTCTCCAACTGTTTCATCTTTTTCAACCTGTGACAAAAAAACAAACAAACAACAAACTTTAAAAGACACTCACAAGATTGAATAAAGTGGTAATGAAAGGACTGACTCCGAACCTGTCGTGTGAGGCTGCCACCCAGATTCATGGTACCAGAGGTGGTCTTAGTTGTCTGAAGCCAAAGCATGACAGTGGAAGTGAGTTTGTAATGCGCAGTACGGCCACTAGACTTCTCCTGTAAAAAAAAAAAAAAAAAATGTATGAAAAAAATATATATATAAATAAATAAATAATAAAGCATTGGGGCATACAAAGGCCTTGTTACAGAGCTTTTATTATCAGTAAACCCATCCTCAGTTGTACACAAAATTCTATCAGAAAAAGGAAGGCAATTAAAGAACTACATGAAAAGTATCAAATGTCTGAAATATCCTAAATCTAAGACCATAAAAACACTGCAATCCTATTAATATATTATTTGACATTTGGTAATGATTTTTATTGTGCCTTCTGCTGGAGTTTTTTTGTAACTGAGGATAATGACAACGCCTCCACAAACAGCACAAACAGTACTATTTCAATGAAGACTAGGTAAGGTCATTTTAAAATTCTAGTATATGTTAGCTGCGCACTCCCACCTGCACCTCCACCACATGGATGGAGTCCCAGCACCCTTTGATCTTCTTGGATCCGTCGCCTGCCTTCTTGATGAGAATAACGCCTGCAAAGCCATGATCCAAATCCCAGAGGTACACAGAGGACACCCCCCCCTCAAAGTACCTAGAACGACAGAAATATAACATATTAGACCTTCAACTATTTGATTTAACATATCACTCTCCAGTGCACTCACAGATCTCTGTACTGGTCGAAGGCATTGTTTGCCTCCACCTCCAATTTCCTCAGGCGAGCAGATGGCATCGCACCATCTTCAATGTAAGGGTCGTACTTATTACTCCAGGGGGACCTAACAGGTAGCACAATACAATTAGGCTAATGTAAAATGATTGTTTTACAGAGTTTTTAGAGTTAGAATTATCCGAGCTAGCAAAAAGCTACTTAAAAATCCATAAGCACAAAAAGTTTAATCAGTGAAATAATGATTAGCAAACACTGCAAAAAATACAACTGGAACTTGAAACTTGTAATGTGAATTATGTCTTTCTTAGACGGCAGATATTATTCTCTACCTGTAGGAGTCGCCATCTCGATTGTAGTCACACAGGAGGTAGTCTTTTCCCACGACTTTATCTCTGGCGATCTTCAGGGGCTGGTCCACGGAGGAGAGTAGATCCTCACACAGTTCGGGCACCTGGTATAATAAGAGCAAAATATGTATCACAATGTACAACAATCAACTTTAAATACATTTAATACATGTTTTGAGTGGTCCTTGCAGGACATGCTAGACAAATGAGTTATGTCATGTGAACACAGGACTATTACACAAGTTTTGGGAAATATAATATGCTACTTAGTGTGTCAGGATGAAGTAGAAATAAAACAATGCTAAATAGTGTAAAGCAGTGGACATTGCTTCAAAGAGGTTTAAGGGATAAAAGTCAGTCACGGTGCTATTATAAAATCTATTATACACAACATAATGTAAAATTTGTAATATTGTGTGGGCATAGTTATGCAGGTATTTTATCATTAGGTATAAATCATATTCCTCTTAGTCTTGTCAGACAAATAACATTTGTTAATTTGTTCAGAGTAAAATCAATGACTGAGCTAATAGGAAACAGGTGTGGATACTGGAGTTTTTTTTTTGTTTTTTGTTTTTAAAGCCCTAAAGGGTCTAAAATGTGGAAGTACCCGACAGTTGGCATAATGTCACATGTTTATAAATGAACACAAAACGAGACAACAGGCTCCAGTACAAAGGAAGCTGTAGAGATAGGAGTCTCGTCAAACCGCACTCAGCATGTCTTCACATTATAACAGTTTGATAAATAACAGTTCAGAGCCAGTGGAATATTCAAACTATTTATGTTTTGCCCAAGCGAATTCTGTTAGCACAAGCATCAAAAGCTGGTGTCCAAACCAAATAAAAAGTACCCCTTTTCCAAAATATAGGGCTGTCCAAAAATTGAATTACATTTTTTTCTAATATTAATACATTTTATCTAACTAAAAATAAATAAAAATGACCTTCAATTGTATTTTCCTCATCTTAAAATACACACTTTTATTTGCCATATTACACAAAAATAGTCACATTTAGATATAGTGTGTAGAGAATAGTGATGACAAAGAGATGCTGTGTCTGACACTCACCAGGTCGATGAGGTCACTGAGGTTCTTCTCGATCTGCTGAGGAGGCAGGCGCCTCATCAGATCCAGGGCACAGTCCAGCTGTGAATCAGTCTAAAATACAACAACATAATATAATATAAACATCAAGATATACATCTTAAAACAGTGAAATGCAGTCAATTCAAAAACTTCTCATTACGCTTTTTTAAATGAATGTTTTAAATGTGCAACACCGGTCCATCACATGAAAGAATAATGCAGCAGACAGATGCATGCGCCCTTCTTTGTACTTCAATACTCATGATAAGTCATGTGAGCACTGAGAGAGGCAGAGAAGATGACTTTACTATGGATATTTGACAACACCATTAAGCAGTCCTGGTAGGAAGTAAATGAAGGAAGTCTCAATCATTGAAAGCTACATTTAAAGTTACCTCTGTTAAACTCAAACAGTATAGCGGTATATTAATGTGCATAGTGCATAATCTAGTTGTATTAGAGATACATAAAATGGATACAACATGCAATGTCCCTTTAACTACATTGTACCACTGTAAAAAAAAAAAAAAAAAAACTGTACAGTGTCTTTGTGACAAGCGCCCATAGACAAGTTTAATTTGAAAATAATTTGGAATGTTGAAATGTTGAAGATCAATAGCATGCTTACAAAATGATTAACTGAGCAGTTTTATTAAAAATATTAATTCAATTAAGATTCAAGCATTTGTACTGAAGCTATAAAGTGGATGGTGTTTTCTGAATAAAATTTTTGTCTTAACTAGAAACCTTGATTTAATTTTCAAGCCTGACTTGAGCAAGTTTCAAAACAAACATCTAACCATGTATGAAGTCAATGTATATATAATGTTACTGAAGGCAATGAGAGAAACCAAAAATGGAGGACTGCAAATATTAGTGTTCCCTCGGGGCGTCTCTTTTCTAACTATGTGCTGAGCTCCAGGACATCAGCGCTGTGGAGCCAGACCAGCCTCGGCACGAAGGAATACACAGGAATGGGTTTCCAATAATGGTGGTATAGCAGGTATTTGAAAACAGAAGAAATAAACATTTCTAAAGGTTAGAATAGAAAATGTAATAGCTTAGCAAAAGTTTGTTGTGGAGAAAAAATATAAGGAGATGTTTTTTCTTTGTCATAAAAACTATGCCAAAAAACATTGGTCCAATAAGAAATATGGGGCACATGTCATACTAATAGTGATTCCTGATGTAAAGACCAGGGTTAGAAGTTCTGATGTGGGTGTTTTGCAGAGATGACCTCAGAAAGACACAGGCTAAATGAAGCAGGAGATCCGAGGCTCACATCACAGACTTCTTGGCAACATCCTTGAGGAAGTTTCCTGTTTTCTTTAGACATTTCATAGGCTGCCTGGAGGAGATCTCAAACAGCTGATGAATCAATGTGCTACCCCAAACACCTGACAGTGTTTAGTGGTACTCCTGTCTCTATGTAAACACTGACTCGGACTAACAAGTCCCGGGGTCAGCAGAGACCAGCAGAGAGACCCCCGAAGAGCCTGGCCTGAGCAGCGATGGATGAGGTGTGGAAGAGAAGACAGGGCGAATGTGGACGGAAACCAGCTGCTACAGCACAGTCAAATGGGAACTGCTTCAAGAGTTTATAACAGTGTTAAGAGAGAAAAGGTTTTCATTTACAGGAACTGACCATTTTAAGTTGCCCTGTCCAGTTTGGAAAATGTCCAACTGCTAATACAAAACAAGACTGATCAAGTCTAAGACAGTTTCCTTATGCCCCGCGCCTAAACTACACAAACTCAGAAGAAAATATCAGAATGACAGCTTGACAAGTGCAGGGCTTGGAGCAAGCAGGCAGTCTTTATTTAGATCTTGGCATCTGAGCGGGTTATTTTGGCCCCTGAGAGCGTAAAGGTGCAGGGAGGGAATAAATGTGTGTGTGTGCGTTATATAAGAATGCTACATCAATACGTCCTGTAAACTTGTGTCAAATCCAAAACATCCTGTGGTAAGTTTGTGTCTAATAAGCAACTAGCTTGCTAACTGCTAGCGATTGGCTAACTAGCTTTACATTTCTAACCATAAAGTGCATTCGCACTACTGCAGCGTGCACAACTTTTGCAGAGGGCGTGAGGGATACTTGTGGGTATTTCACATACTTGGATAACCTGCTGCTGACTTTCGGCTTCTCGGGTTACCACTCCGCTCCTTAGCCAAACTTAGCACTTAGCATTGATAGCATTAGCCTACAGCCCCACCAAACCCTCCAGCCCGTCTGACGGCTGCGGCCCTTACCATGTTTGCGGCGGACTGAGGCTGACTCTGCGGTCACGGAAGCACGGTGACAGTAATCCTAAACTCTGCAGCGACTGCACGGGTTATTCCGTGTTGGGTTGCTTTTTGTTGCCCTGTTTAGATGTTTTATTCGCCTCTCCCTCACTGTGCCCAACCCTGTCAGCGGAATCCACTTCCTCAACCAGGCTACAGGAAGCAGGCTGTAGTCACAAAACAGAACCAGTGTTCTGTCCAGATCTGCACCCCATTGAAATCTGGGACAGTGGGGGCGCTGCTGCACTATTTGTCTATTTGGGTCTGTTCTGTTCTGCTCACGTACGCAGGTTGTATAAAGAATATTCAGTCTATGATAGTCACAGTCTTTGATTCTGTTACAATATTTTAATAATGTTATAAGATCCTTCATTCATTAATTGGCAAAAATATTTGTTAGAGCCAGAAAAAAAGAAACATAAAAAATTTGATTAACCTCACACCTATGTGCTTACTTTATAAACCTAATAGACCTATTACTGCCAGACGGTGGTTCTGGGTTTCCATAAAAAAAAATAAAAAAAATAAAAATAAAATATTAAAAAGGAAAGATTAATAAAATGAGAGAGAGAGAGAGAGAGAGAGAGAGAGAGAGAGAGAGAGAGAGAGAGAGTTTCCATTTAGTTTCAATTAGTTTAGCGCCCCCTACTGTCAAACATATCACTCAGTCACAGATCTCGGCATAACACGGGCTTGCATGTCCGGGTCAGACTGCGCTTTCTTTGCAACAGCCAATCGTAACGAGGCAAGAAATGCATTGCCAAGTATGGAAAGGGAGGAGTGGTACAGAAAATGAGCAGTTAGAGGAAGGCGAGCAAGAGCAGCACATATGAACTTCAAAGGTTCTGCGAAATGCTGAGATTTCTCTCTCTGAGAAGTAGGATTAGTCAATAGGCCAAGCCGATTTTGATTCAATACTTTTGGACATTTTTTTTTTTTTTTTTTATAATATTTGGAACCCTGTGTAAAATATCAAATGAAACAAAAGTAGGCCTAAGTTAGAAGTTAAGATACAAAAGCTACTTTAAAAAACATACCGTACTATATATATATATATATATATATATATATATATATATATATATATATATATATATATATATATATATATATATATATATATATATATATATATATATACACACACACACGAATCATCAATTCTGAATCAATTAAGAAACTACTATACTACACTGTTCTGATAATATATGTCAAGCACGAGACTTCGGGATGGTCTCGCGACACTTCGTAGTATCCTGAAACATGGCAGAAGAGTACGGTAGAAAGTGGGATCGCTGCCTGGCGGACACCGGTGTTAAAACAGGTTTTCTTTCCTCATATTCTGTAAAACATAAATATATATATATATTTAGATATATATATATATATATATTTTTTTTTTTTTCAGGAGTTGGGGTCGTATGGTTTAAATTTCTTGTTAAGAATAAGGTGCTTCTGATGGTGCTGGACCACTGCGTCTTTGAGGTCAACAAACTAGACCTTTTGTCACCTAAAATGTTACATGTAATAAGGGTCTTGCATGTTTTCATAAAAACCTTCAGTGCAGCATCTGTTCATGACCATGGATTACAGTGTATTAATTATCCCTGTCGTCATACCAGTGCCATTACCTGTAAGAAATCCAATAATAACTATAATAGCTATTGTTATGGCTATGCGTAAACGAAGGATAACACCAGTTGAGTTTTATGCCTCTTAAGTTAGTTTTTGCTGATGTTGGTGACTAGTTCAGCTGTTTATTCATGAGGGGTGACTGTTTCAGTCAGTTAGTATTAAGCCCCTTCACCTTGTCACTGTTGATTTGGTCCTGTCTCACTTTGAAACAGTGACTCAAAAATAATACGGCGTAGTGTATTGATGTGTGTTTTTTTTGTTTTTTATTTTGCCAAAGACAATATTTATGGCACATTATGGCTAGAAAATAGTTCAAATGTGTCGATTTATGCCTTGATTATGTATTGCACAATATTGAAATTAACTGTCAAATTACTGTTAAATTAGTGCAGAAATGCCACTATTGTTTGACAGATTTATATAAAAAGTGGTATTTCAGTTTTTATTTGATGCCATCTCTTATTAGGTGTTGCATCTTTTCTATTTTAAACATAACTATTAGTTATGCAGGACTCAGGAGCCATAGTATTGCTTTAATGACAATGCAATGATAACACAAAAAATGTTTCAGTTTTGGAGCCTGTGGAAAGTAGTTGAATCTTAATATTTGTGGCTCAAGACTAAAGACTGTGGTGGGAAACGGAGGAGTCTGAACAAAGTGTTTTTTGGCCTGAGAAAAGGATGATACTTTTCCTCCAATAGCAAGGATTTTTGGAGATCTTATGTGGTATTGTTTGACATTTGTAATTCTTTAATATAGAACAGTCTGCAAGTTCTAGTTCAGGCAAAACGGTCATGCTGCATAGCTCTCTGAATCCAATTAAGAGTTGGAGGGGCCCAAATGGTTGTTTTTGTGTGTGTGTTTTGGTGAGTGGCCGGTCTGCTCTTGGGTGTGGTGTGGCCTGCAGCGAGGTACAGTTCAAACACACAAACACATTCCTTCTCCAGATCCCACTATGAGGCCTTCAGACCAGAACTAGCATGGCACCACTCAGAATCTGACTTACCTCACGTGCACTGTCGTCCATGCCCTGTGTCACCTTTACAGGGTCAAAGTAAACTACTACTACTGCTCTGCCCATGAGTTTCAGAGTGATGAAAAATTTATACCATTGCCATAGCTATTAGATTGCAACAATTTGAATGTTAAAAAGTGCTCTAAATAGCATCTGTCAACAGGAATCTGGAACCCTGAATATGCCTTTGAATGCAACCACCAGAAGTCATAATTAGGGTTGTCACAATATGAAATTTTATCATTATGATTATTGTGAAAAGAAACAAAATTTTGATTATTCACAATTGCTGACACATGTAATCCAAAATACACACTGCATGGTCCATGCTTATCAGAAAAAAATATGGAAAAAGATATCAGAAGGGACAGAAAAACACATCTGATTTCTGCAGAAATTTGTTAATCTGAGATTAGGTTAATTTGATTTTATTTGTTAATGGTAAGTGACCAATGAGCTCCTTCGTTTCACATGCATCGCTAAGAAAAAAAAAACAAATCTGATCATTTTTGACCGGACTTGAGACTCAGCGGTAGGCATAGGGTAACCTTGCACAGCAAGGCTGATTCTTAGTGAGTTCACAAATTTACGTGATAACATGTAGAACTTAATTCAGAGTGACACACATATCAGCCTGGTGTGAGCTAGGTTAGGTGTGGGGACCAGACTTATAATCAATCTGTATGAAAATACAGAGTGATATCCTTCTGGATTTGATCTGGGCACAGTGACCAAGCAGTGAAATCCTTATGTTTTCTTTCATTCATTCATTCGTTACCAATCATCTTATATATGACCAGCTTTAAGAAATATTTTTTTATGATAAAGTAAAGTTAATGTGACATAAACAGAAACATTAAAAAAGCACATTTAAGTTGACTTTATTTCTGAGTATAGTAGTTGAAATAATTGGAATGTCCTTCTTATTATATTTTTGTTTTTCAGTTATATTGTGACCTGAATAATCATGATTATTGATGATTATGATTAACCATCCCTAGTCTCAATACAATCCAGTCCTTTCAAAAGTCTAGTTATGTGTAGTGAATTGCTTCAGGGAGCGCATCCAATATATTTAATTAAATCAAACATGCAACTCTTTAGGCTATATGTTCATGCCACTTTTGTTCACTGCAATTAAATCATTAAAACATTAACTGCAAACCTTTTACAAATGATAAATATTTCCCCTCTCTTGCACAGTGATTGGCCTTGGGGTTGGATTCATGTTCTCCGTTCTTTTCTTTAAGCGTAAGTTTTTTTGTTACACATATGTACTAATAATACTAATAATTTTGTTGTTACTAATGTAATAATGATCATTTGATAGGAAAATACATTTAGACCTTTGTTTTTCAAGATGTTATTGAATTCTTGGCTCCCAGTAACCAGGTATAATTTTGCTGCACAACTCAACAACTCAAAAACAGAGAGAGAGAAAAAAAAAATTAAGCACTGATAAACACTGAAATGAGAGTTTAGTGTAGTTTTTGGTGTAATCCCTTATTTGTCCAGGAGTGGTCCATTGAAATAAATAGTTCACTGAGGGTTTTTTTCACGATTGTAACACTACAAAATATTGCAAAATTCCAAGTTTGGACTTTAAGGATAGCTCAAACTATTTTTAATAAAGCAAGAATGTTCTCAAGCAAAAGTACTTCATTTATATGATATTCGCCAAGAAGTTAAAGCATGCAAGCATAAATTATATTTGAAAGTACATTTGAAGAAGGATGGTGAGTAAGGTACATGTAGGGCTGTGCAAGTAATCATATTTTAATCAAATTGAGATCTAATCATTTTAAATGATCAATGATCAGCTTTGATCTTTTTAATCAAGAGGTCTATAAGCCAATCCTCTTTCAGTAAAAGCATGAGGTTTGGAACAAAATTCACATTAAGAAAATGGAATATTTGTTTTCAGACAGGTCAATTAAAGATCAAGATGGTATGGAGAAACATATTATTTCTGTCATATTGCCCAGTTCCAGTCCATAGTTTAAAATCATGTTGTGTAACTTTGAATCCAGGTCACTTCTGTTCACACTTCTGAGCAGTAACAGTTAAAGCCTGTTTTTCCTACAGGACGCACATGGCCCACTGCACTTGGTTCAGGAATGGGGCTTGGCATGGGATATGCTAACTGCCAGCATGACTTCAGAGCCCTCCACCTGGTTCACGCCGCAGTGGCTAAGGTGAGCTCTGCAGGTAAAATGTGTGGTTAGTTTGAGGTGGGTGAGTCAGTAACTCATGATGTCATTTTCTGTGTTCATTTTTAGGACCAGTAACTTAACACTAGCTGCTCCAGCCTGTTTTTGTCACTGCTGCTTGCTTATGCCATAAAATTGATGTCCATATCAGCTCATGTAGTGCTAAAAAGAAGGGCATTGTAAATATATTTAATAAAAAAATGAAAGAACTTTCTCTCTCTCTCTTTGTGAGCTCATTTGACAAGAAAAAACATGGGTTGGAAAGCGGGAGGTAATTTGGTGTGTTAATGAGCTTGGAGACCAAAACTCCTGCTGTTTTAGAACCAGGGCCAGCTTTAGCATCTGCAGTCCTGTTATAAAATGGGAGGAAGAAAAGTTTCTACCAAGATGGAAAAAATAAAACTTAACTCCGAGAAACACCAGGTTAATGTGATTTGCACAGAATGACGCAGCTTTCATGTTTCTTCTTGCGTTTAAATCCTTTGTTGTAACACTTGTAAACACGCTGTAACAGAACGCAATGCCAGGTCCCGGGGACATGTTTGAATGAGGACAGCTTGTTTTAGTTTGAAGTCGCAAAGTGAAAGTCATACATACTCAGCTTTGATCTCAAGAATTGGGATGGCTACACCCTCTTGTAACTTCATATCAAGGCTAAATACATATCGAATGAATAGGGTAAATGTGACTAGATATTATGGAGGATTGAGTGAATAATGAACTACAGCAAAATATGCAACATTAAATAAAGATGGTATTACTTCAGTAAAAACTGTGGTATGAACTATTATAAATCAGAGATATTTAACTCTCTACTATGACTCTCCAGAGAAAAGTCCAAAATATACTGTTTATCTATCATTAATTGAAAGATAAGTTACTGTAATGTGGATCTTCTGCTTTATCTTCTCTTTGTGCCAGTCCTAAACCTGTATAGACCAGTATTTAAACGGCCTTGTTCTTGTTTGATGTGCTGGTCTGGAGCTCTGCGTATCAGAGACTGGCTCTGGCCTCTGTGTTCATTGGCTGGATGTCCATGCTCAGGTCTGTTATGGGAGTGATTGATCGTGTACAGTGCGTGAATAAAGTGTGTTCTGGAGGCTGCAGGAGAGAAGAGGGATTGTTTGTGTGAGCGCGTATCCAGCCCCCTGGTGAAACAGAATCTGAGGAATGCAGAAGAATACCATTTCTGGACTGGAGCTCGGTCTTATTACTAACAGGTGAGTCCTGCACTTTGCACGTCTCAACATTACACACACCACTCATATTTTCCTTTCCGTCACAGTTTTCTCAGCAATGTAAGCACATACATTCTTGCAAACAATACAATATAACTCCACCTTAAGTCTAAAGAACAGGGTCCTTTGGCGCTGTGATGCAGCAGAGTGTTGAGTGAGGCTGTCAGAAAATTAAGCCATGTCTCTCGTCCCTGTCCATTAACATATTTGTTTGTAACTGAAGTGTGAAACAGATGGGGGCGCTTCTGGACATGGGCCAGACTGAACACCTGTGAACAAGAGAGGTTTGACGCTGCCAAGGTAGAACATGGGCCGCCAATGCCCATAGGCAACACCTGCCTAAGCCTGTCTGAGGACAGGACTCTTCATAATGAATCATAATTACTGGGCTAATAGTGAGAGCTGCAGTCAAATTAAAACTGGAGCCAATAAAACCAGACCAGTGTACTATTTGGAGCATCCTGCTCAGTGGATTGTTATTCTAAATGTTCCTTGTACCATAGCCCATAATGAATCAATATGACCCACAGTTTCTTAATTATTCAACTTTAAAAAAAAAAAATCAAACCAATTGTTTCTATATTGTTCAAGCCACTTTAGACATTATATTATGTATTGAAGGTCCAATATGAGCATGAAGGCCACACAAGGTCATGGCACCTTGTTGCTGTTAAGTTTGAACAATAAGTCCAATACAGCTAGAACTACCACCAAAGGAAGCCAAGCATTGTTAGGAAATCATAAAGGACAGTAGATCTAGGCTCATTGCTTTACTGAACAAAAACACTGCTTTTGTAACCCACCATCTTTCTATAGAGTTTCTTTAAAGAAACTTATTGAAATAAATACTTGAGGTCACTACCACATCTGTTTTAAAGTTGAAGTCTTATATTCTGGTATTCATTTATTCCACTTTATATCCAAAATTGTTAAAATATTCCCAGATGTAGTCCAAAATTGCCCTACACGCACCCCGACGTGTCCTGTTCTGTGTTCACGTTTGTCCTGTAAATCTCAAGTGCGCTTCAGTGGATCCGTGAGCACTTCCAAGCAGCCCTCCCTCCATCTGCAGCTTTTATACTTTCGTCCAGAACCGACGCAGCAGGAGCCCGAGTCCGAGGGCTGCAGCCGCGCCTAACCCTTGCTGCGGAGACTTTTACAACTAAAGACAACAGCTTGGAAAGTGTTTTTCAGTGGATTTTCATGAGAATTTAACGGTGAGAAGAAGAGGAGAAAGGGGAGGGGCGCGCGGTGTGAGCTGATGGACTGTGACTGAGATAGCACTCGTAGTTTGGGCTCCCTCATCCTCCGCTCGGACGCACGAGACGGATCGGTCATCTTGTCTCTGGATGATGTAACTATGACACACCGGAATAGGATCAGCAGTGAAAAGTTTTTACGTTTTTCTTAAATTAACAGCCACTGATAAAAGAGGAAAGAGGCATTTGTTCCGGACCGGTTTCGCTCAGCGGGACATTGCGCAGTAACTCGACTGGCTCTACCCCGGTGAGCGGAGGTAAGTGTGGACCGCGTTTGCACCGCTTCATTACGCATTACTTTTGACATATACTGGCGTGGCTTTAGCTCGATTTCTTTGGCGTACGATGCAGCTGCTTTTCATCAAAGTTGGTAATGAAGTTTTTATTGGCGCAAACTAGTTTTCTCAGCAAGTAAGTTGGCACTTGTTAAGACTGTGGACATTTTGCCAAGATTTAAAAAAAAAAAAAAAATCAGCTGGCCTAGACTCAAACAGGGATCTGCTTATAATCTTACCAAAGGTTACTTTACATTAATTTACAAAGATTAACAGGTTAGGAATTTATTGGTCTGACTATTAAAAGTGAAAGAGAACACAGTCAACTTGAACGGTCTGTAGTGTTCGACTTTTTAACATAAACAAGCTTATGGCTTTATCAAGTTAATAACAAAGGCCTTTCATGTGTCTCTAAAATGTATTGGCCCCATTGACCTATTTCATTTATTATAAATTGAGATTTGAACAGCTATAACCTCATGTTTTATAAAGAATGCATTCTTGGGTTAAAACTGTTTTTTATTTGCCTAAATAGGCTTTAATATAATCTTCTTTTTCCTTCTTCATAAAGGCTGTTTTTAATATGGGGTGTAAAAGTGAAATTAAGATTTAATTTAGTTTTTCTCCTGGACATGCGTGTTGAAAAGAGGTGGGTGAGCTCTTTTATAAGCAGCAGGAGAAAATCATTTTGTTGGCTGTAAATGACGTGAGTGCAAAAGGTATTTTTAAAGATTATAAAACGATTTTCAGGTGGTTCACTGTTCCATGTTTGTTTGTCATGTTGTTTGTCAGAACAAGATAATGAAGACGTCATATCATAGATGAATAGAATTTGCTACAACTTAATTAATCCTGATACTCAGACAGCAGTAGACAAAAAAGTAAGAATCACTGATATTACAATAAAATAGTCCACGAGCCCCCTTCATAATTTTCAACAAAACTGAATTTAACAAATAACCATACACTCACACTAGAACATTTGATTTCACTAATTCGTAGACAACAATAGCACACAATGCTGTAGCACCTGTGTCCGTCTCTGACATGTGAATACCACGGGTCCTGGTTGAATTGGGGGAACAGGGGTAAGCAGCATCCCAGCAGAGCTAAAATCTGGAAGAGTCTAGCTCATACATTTTGAATATATTTTGTATAACTTGATAGTGAGGATTCAGGATTGCATAGGGTGACTAGTTGGAAAAAGAGGGATGAAGTGTTGAATTTTCAGTTTTTATCAATTGGAATAGCATTATGTGAAAACATATCGCAATCCTGAATGCCAGTGCAGCCAAAAAAGTCTTTATTTCTTGGTGAGGGTTAGGTTTAGGAAAAATATACTGACTGTTTTCTGTGTAAATCTCACTTGTTATATAATTCATGTAACATCAATGAAAAAAGTGTGATATTCACCAAGGAGCACGGGCAGGGATCTAAACGCCAGTGTAGGACAACCAAAAGAGGGACAGGTGTTCAGATTGCACCATACCTGTGATGTTGAATGTGACTAACATTGTTTTTGTGCCCTCAGGAGCAGTCATGTGGCAGAGCGTTCAGATCTGCGGTGCACTGTTTGTCCTGCTCGCTCTGTCCCGTGCTGCGCCACCCCCCGCACACATCAACCGTCTGGCCCTGTTTCCCGACAAGAGCGCCTGGTGCGAGGCCAAGGACATCACCCAGATCGTGGGGCACACAGGCTGCCAGCCGCGCTCCATCCAAAACAGGTCAGCCTCAAAGCCCCTTCTGTCTCTGCCTGACAATCCACAAGGTAGTATAGGGGAATGTCTGTAGTGTTAGCTGTTTAGGAGACAAGAGATAGATGTGCGTAGTGGTTCACTGAAAAGAGAACTGGAAGATTAAATGGCTAAAATCTGTATACACTCTCAATTTATAGGACCCTGCCTCCCAAATGGGGACAAAAGATCTTAATAAAGTAGCAATTTTTTCATATGATTATTTGATGTCAGTAGATTCCAGTCTAGTTTAAACTGGCGGTTGAGGGCAAACAAATTGTAACATTTGCATTTCACCTGGTATTTTGTGAATATTCTATTTGGATATTTGTTTGAAAAGAAAGAAAGAAATATAAGGCCTGCTCTCATCTGAGATTTGGATAATATTGAATTGTAGAACATGAGAACATAAGAACATTGCTCTTATTGCAGAAAATACTCCTGATTTCTTGTTGTAATGCAGTAAATGTAGTAAACTGTAGTACATTATAGGGACAAGTGAAAGAAAAGGCATAAATGAACTATTGATTTTTTTTTTGTTTGGTCGCTCCAGGACACTGCTTTAGCTCTGTACCTTGTTTAGAGTCAATAATAAGAGCATTAACCCCTGATCTATTAGAAAGCTGAGATTTGACCCAGGTCTAGTTCAGAATAGGATCGCTGCTTTGGTTGAGGCCATACGTTTTTTTCATTGATTATAATTTACCACTGATATATTTTTTTAATCATCAAACTCAAAGTAATCAGTTTTTCAGTCAGTATAATCTGTTTATATTTAGTAATATATTGCTTACACTTTAATTATTTTCTTTATCATTTAACATTGTTCTCATATCTGTAATCTGTATATTAGCATCATCTTTTCCCCACAGCTTGTAGTTATTGCAGCTTCAAAATTGAATCAAGTGTTTTCCGAGCTTGGACACAAGGAACTAATCGTACTCTCTTTCTTTCTGCTTCTCACTCTCTCCCTTGTTCTTTTGCCATGTCTCTCTTTCCCTCTCTCTGCCCCCTCCTCTCCATCTCTCTCTCTCTCTCTCTCTCTCTCATAAGCTCTCATTATCCCACTCTCTCTTTCTGCTATCTCTTTTTCTATTCCTCCTTGCCTGCTCTCCCCTTCTTTCTCTCTCTGTCTTTGCTTCTACTCTCTCTTCTTCTGTCTGTCTCTTTTTCCTCCCTCTCTCTCTTTCTCCCTCTTACTTACCCAATCTCACTCTGTTTCCCTCTATGCATCTCTCTGTGCTCTCTCCCTCTCTGCCCTTCTCTCTCTACTTTCTCTCTATTTCTCTTTCCTTTTCTCTGTCTTTGCAGAGCGTGCCTGGGCCAGTGCTTCAGCTACAGCGTCCCCAACACGTTCCCACAGTCTACAGAGTCCCTGGTCCACTGCGACTCCTGTATGCCCGCTCAGACACAGTGGGAAGTGGTGAGAGAGGCACAGTCCGCACCACACCAAAATCCACTTGTTAACCACACTCTTCACCACAACATGTCCCACAGATGTTGAACATGCACCAAGTGCTGGCTACTTCAGTTATAAAGAACAGAGAACAGATCAGGTTGTCCCAGAGTTCACCAAGTATTGCCTTTGAATGAATACAGCCAGTAACAAAGAATCCATGGTGAGGGGTATGTAGGTTGGAGCTGCGCCAGGTCGGACCACAGGTGGAGTTACCTCATGTTTCACTCTAGATTAAAGTTCCTCTTTTTTCTGGGGGTTTATATGTGTATATATCTATATCTATCTATCTATCTATCTATATATGTGTGTGTGTGTGTGTGTGTGTATATATATATATATATATATATATATATATATATATATATATATATATATATAGATAGATATAGATATACACACACATATATATAGATAGATAGGCTAGTAAACAAAGCTTACTAGCCTGTAGCTGAATACTTTAACTTGTTAAAGGTCCCATATTACATAAAATTGATTCTTATGAGTTTTAGCCATGTTAGAATGTAGAATGTGTTAGAGTAATCCTTTATTACTAGTCTGTCTACATGGCTAAAGCTCAAAATGCTCTGTTCTACCTTGTGATGTCATGAAGTGGTAGTTTAAGTTAATAGCTACCTTTAGAGAGTGAGAATTTTAAAGCTGAAATCATCCAAATTATTCTAGTGAAGGTGTATGTTTAAAAACACAATAGAGCACTTCCCATACCGGTGCATGAAATCAGAAGATGGAACAGGTCGAAAGTGTTTTCTGTTTGAGGGAAGAATTTGTGTATTAAACATGAGTGAATTAAATAAAACACAACTCCAGGAAAGTTTGCGAAATGGAAACAGCATTATTATTACATAGATCAGAAAATAGTGTAATATGGGGCAGCAGTAGCTCAGTTGGTAGAGCATTCACCCACTGATCTGAAGGTTGGCAGTTCAATTCCAGCTCTCGGCATAAACATCACAGGTTGAGCGGTCAGATCCACTGACCCGCAGGTTGGCTGGTGTGATTCCAGCTCCCACAGATGAATGCTGTCATTGTGTTCTTGGGCAAGACACTTAACCCACCTTGCCCGCAGTGTCTGCGTACACTGGTGTATGAATGTGTGTGTGAATGGGTGAGTGGTTCCTTGTTGTAAAGCGCTTTGAGTGCCTTGAAGGTGGAAAAGCGCTATAGAAAAATGTGACCATTTAATATGGGCCCTTTAAATGTTCACTATGTAACCTTTCTGGTTGAGGTTTGCCACCTGTTTGTATCCAAGGAGATGTTATTTTATTGCCCAACAGTATGCCATTTATCCTGCATCCATGCAATATATGGGCATTCTTAATGTTACAACAAGACTGTTTTTCTTAGTGAGTGTCTCACCTCCACAAATCTGACTTTTAAACCTGACTTGGTGGCATCATTTGCTTGTAGGTAATGTAGTATCCCCACCATGGATTTAAGGTGGCAGATCCTGCACCAGAAAAGCTACACTTTGCACTTTTAACATAGCTTCAGTGTTAAACTGAACTGTTGAGTTACATCTCTTGTCCAAGGACCAAACAGTAGTACATGTCTGCAGTGTTTTACTTCCAAAGTAATTGCTTTTCACTTTTTTGTGCACTCATGTACTTTTACTTTAAGAAAAGCAGACAGCGATTGTTTTTGTCTGTGGTGTAACTGTTATTGGAAGACCTGATGTAAATTCTGCTTGAAATGTCACAAAGTCAGTGCTGTTTGAAAGATGATACAGCTTCATGGTTTGGCTCCGGTGGCTGGTTTAATAAAGTTGCTGAGCTATCATTTTCATTGGATAATGCCAAGAGAGTGTTGCAATGTGTTTGGAGTGGTTTGTGCAGGAGTGCGGCTTATATTTTCCATTTGTGCATATTTTTATTAGTGTTATTTATTATATTAGACACCACTGTTTGGCTGCTTTTCTGCTTATTTGTAAAGTAAAAGTTTATATATGTGACATAATGCTCTAATGGGGAATTTAGAACCTATGTTTTGCGACGCAGGAGGAAGTTCTTAAGTTTCTTTTTTATTTTGCCTTTTTTATTTTTGGATAAACAAAATATCACATGGCAGCTCCCTTGATTCTCTGTCAGGTAACTCACTGACAAGGCTCATAAATCACTTTATACATTTAGTCAAAGTTCATGAATCTTGTAGTTTTAAAGAATGACTAAGGACAATGATGTTTAACACTGAACAAGACCAAAATGACCTAAAAGTCCCTGATGTTTCTCATTTACTGATATCTGCTACAGCTACAAATACTTAAAAATCCTATTAAAGGTGGACCCAGAATAAAACTAGTCAGCTTATATGTAAAACTCACATTTTAGCAAAGATATTTTTCTCTGTTTTTAAAGTTTGTTTGTATGTGTGTTCTCAGGTAACTCTGGACTGCCCTGGCAATGAAGAGACCCCTCACGTGGACAAACTAGTAGAGAGGATCTTCCACTGCAGCTGCCAGTCCTGCAGTAAAGAGGGCAGCCAGGAGGGGGCACTGATGCAGCTCTATTCACCGGACAACGGCCTGGACTCTCCGTCTTTGCCTGATTCTCTCTTAGGGCTCCACTCACACCCTCTCCCTGACGCAGACACACACGTCCATATACAGGCAGACCACCACACGCTGCCACACACTTCAGATGGAGGTTAAAGACATAACTATATGTTACTATATGTTCCTTTATATTTCACTTCAATGAGCATCAACTGTATCAAACTGTACTATGGGCACCTTTTCCAAGCAACTTTACACACCCAGCCACTTTCAAGCTCCCACAATGCACCTATGTATAAAGTTAAGTTGTACAAACCACTGATTACATTACATTTGTTTATTTTTGCATCAAGACACGACTATAAGATGTAGTCTCATTCAATCGCTTAAATGCAATAAATTCTATTCTTGTTATACATCTGATGCTGCAGTGTTTTGTATGTTGTGTTTGCATAGGAAGGTGGACTTGATTCTGCCTTTAGGGAAATCTGTCCTTGACCAACCCAATACTCTGTTTGGCACAGGGCCAACCTATCGGGAGCACTGAGCGGCCGCAGTGCAGCTCCTCGGGTCAGGAGTATAGCCTATAGCTGGAGAAATTGATTGTGCATGTTTTAGGCTAATGGAGGGAAAGAGCAGCACCCTACACAGATCCCTGAACTCTGCATAGAAAATCAGCACGCGAAAGATACATTACTTTTCAAACAATCTAATAGTCCATCTGGGAATATTTTAGCTTTAAGCAGCAATGAGGGATCAAATAATAACAAAAGCTTTTTTATTACCACAAAATATATTAGGTAGTTACACAATGATATAAAGAGGTAATTTTAGATATGGCCCACAGGTTGGCAATTCAATCTCAACTTCCACAAGTTAATACTGTTGTTGTGTCCTTGGGTAAGACCCTTAACCCTCACCCACATCTCCAGTGTCTGCGTACAATAGTGTTACGAATGTGTGTATTTGTTGTGTGTGACAGATATGAGTGTCTTGAATGTGGGAAAGATAGCACCAGTTTCACATAAATTGAATAATAACACAATTATTGGGGGGGTGCGTGTGTTTTTTAGAAAGATAGTTTCCATTATGAAAGTCAAAGTACTACATTGTCCCACTGGGAAATTTGCCCTCTGCATTTGACCCATCCTTCAATGTCGCTGGGGAGCATTGCTTGGAGAAAGTCAGCCGGGTGTCATTATAAATAAAAGGGCCTCACTTATAGAATTGATTCTATTTCTCAATTCACACATGCAGGCTCCATTGCATGAGTAGTTATGTTTTAAGACATTCCTATAAGGAGTAGTATAAATGCAGAGATGACTGACCTGGGATGGTTCTTGGTCATCTCCATAGCAATGTGCAGAAGGAAGAATCAATCACCTGCGACTTGCTGGAAGCAGATAAGAGACACAATTTAATGGCCCAAGGGGAGGATGTGGGGTTTCGGTCTGCAGCGGATTCTAATATAGACATTTAGCTGAAAAAATACAACCTAGTCAATACTATCGACCAGAGACAACTGTTGGAGCAATGGGGACCAGCCGTTGGGCAAGAAATTCATCAACCCTCCATTAGATGTCGCAAATGTTTAGTTTTATCTAGACAAGTGAAGTGATGTATCTTCAACTCATAACATAAGACTATAAGTGGGTTTCTCTGTGTGCTATCTCCACCTTTATCCAATATCCCCTGTTCACTACTTGCCCGTCTTATCCTATATCTCTTCCCATCGTCTCGTCTTGTAGTGTAATTAAATCTGAACAGTCGAAAGGTTGAGTGGCTGTCCGTACTCCAAAACAAATCGATCATTCCTTATCTCGCAGGCGCACATCTGTTTGGATAAGTCCGCACAAAAACCCCCGGAGGGGAAAACCCATCGTAATGACTTATCACTTATATTGTTCTCCGCAAACTTTAAAAACTTTTATATGGTCTTTCACTTAACAAACGCCCACTTTCCAAACTTTAAATTTAGTAGCCAACAGGGGCATCTAAAGCTAAAGCCCTATGTGGCCATCGATAAATATGGCAATTAGGCCTATGTGCTATATGGATCATTTTATTTTATTGTTGCCAGTACATTTTGGTTTGGTGTCATAGCTTAGCCATTGTTTGTAGGCTTTAAAAGCCAATGTACGTCTTCCGGTCAGCGGGTTCCCGGTTACGCGCAGAACTCATGTGCACGGTGGTAGCAGAGTGCCCGTTGCGCGCTCCCGGAGGCGCACAGAGGTTCCTTGCATCAGCACCAGTGGAGCAGCGCAGGGTCCCGCAGGCGCTTATTCTGCAGGTGTTTGGAGAATCCTTTGCTTTGCTTTAAAGTTTTATTTGAATCGGATCTATTTTCGCCTTTGAGGACTTCCACGTAAGGACTAGCCGTTTACGCAAGGTATGGCTAAATAATCTTATTCGCGTTTCTAGTTGATATAAGGTTCTGGCACGCTCTGTTGTCTTTTTATGGCGCCTTGTTATTTAGTAAAATTTGTAAAGTTATTTTTGTACAGACATTATCTCGTGTTATATTGTGTATCCTATGAATTTGGGCAAAAAGGTTCCGATTGATCCTGCGCAAAATGAAAACTGACAGAGTCCTGACTTCTGTGACAAAGCCTTAGTCGATGTGATCGATCACGTATTTGATGGAAAGACTTTTAATGCGTGTAAAATCAACACGCGCCATAGGTCCCCTATTACCATCAGATAATGAATTATTGGCTGCTTGTACAGGACGACATGCTTTACAATCCTTGTTCAAAGAGCGTGCAGAGCAAACAATCAAACAAGAGTTAATTTCAGTAGAACATCAGGGTATGAGGATGTCCATCAACACTGCTCTGGGTAATAATAAGTAATAAAAAAGAGCAATAAATTATATTCAGCATGTGGAGAGAGACTATATTTATGATGGTGGAAAAACCCATCTTTCAGATAAATGGGATGCAGGTGAATGAAGTAGAAGTTGTAAAGGTCCAATGAAAACATAATTTAATCAATTAGTCCCCTGAGGCAAGATAAGATTGTTTTCATTTGTTGTAACTGCATTTTTTTATTTATTTTTTTTGCCTTAAATTAAATCTTAGAAACAGTGACATAAAATTGCCTCTCAATCCTTGCCTTTCTCTCAGGATGTGTGGCGTGGACGTAGACCTGGACGATGGCTCTGGGGAGGAGGAGAAAGAGGAGGAGATCTGGGTCGGGGAGGGGGTGAAGATGCTGCCCCCCCCCAGTGGCCCACAGTGGGGGGAGTGCGTGGGGTAGCCGCAGAGGCAGGTGTGGGTGCCTGGCCTGGGGCATCTTGCTGTTGATGTGGGACCTGTGCATTGTGGTCGCCTGTGCTCTACTCCTGGCTTTGGTGTTTGCTGTGGTGCTCCTGCCTGCCATGCTGCTGCTGTACGCCGGCTTCCTCTGCCATTCAAGAGTGAGTAGCTTTTTGTTGTGTTCGGAATCTACTTTTCTGCATATGTGTTGTGTTTGTGTTCTGCATATTTTCTGAACACATTTGAACCTGAGCACTTGCATATACTATTAAGGTTCGTTGCTCAATATTTATGCAGGCACACCACAAAATCAACACCAAATTGAGCAATTTACCTGCACCTTCTCAGTTAAACATCATTGGTCTGTATGATGTTCAATCTGCAATAGTATTAAACTGTTCAAAAAGTCACTGGCGAACTGTATTCACTTCAAAACCTTTGTCCATTTGACACAATTAAATCTTTTGCTATGGAACCAACCTGGAAGCCTGAGGAATTACACAGACCTATGCCTGCAGGAGTTTTTGTAAGCCCTATAGTTTGGTTCAGTAGTCTTGGATAATGACTCAGATACACTCAAATATGGTGCCAATGGAGACTGAGTGACTACTACATGCTCATCAACAAATAATTACTTTAAAACTGCTTTCATCACAAGTATGATATGAAATAAGTTGTGTCAATCCCAAGCCTGGAGAAATGGAAAGCTGTAAATGGCATTTAACTGGTATAGAAATATAAATAAGGTTTTTAATTAATTTTGAACTGATTAGCCAATCAAATATCACTATTGTGTATAAATGCTGACACTGATCAGAATTTAAGGATGTGATTTCAGGGTTAAGTTTGAAATGTGCATACCTGTCAGACCAATAACATTGTTCTTACACCTCCAGACCCCGCCCATCCTTCCCCC